TTGTGTGCCTTCAAGTTGTCTTTGACCAATAGCAACCATAAATTGGGGCTTTCTTTGTAAGATTTGTTCAGAGAAAGTTTACTATTGTCTCCCTCTGAGGCTGAGAAAATATGACTTGCCCAAGGTCACCCAGTGGGTTTCCATGGCCAAATGGGGAATTGAACCCTGGTCTCCAGAGCACTAGTCTAACTCTTAAAGCAGTGTTTCTCAACCTGTGGGCCCCCAGATATTTATTTATTTATTAATGCGCTTGTATACCGCTAATATCTCAGCCTAAATCGGCGACTCATTGCGGTTTACAACACTTAAAAAACAACAATATTCAGTTTAAAAGCATAAAACACATATACAATACAAATTATTCTGTATTTTGGCCTTCCGCTCCCAGAAATCCAGCTGGTAAACTGGCTGGGATTTCTGGAGACCCACAGGTTGAGAACCACTGACTTAAACTATGTGGGTTATCCTTTTGGAACATTTATAAATGTAAATAATAATAATAATAATAATAATAATAATAATAATAATAATAATAGAAGTTATTATCTGGTTGCAATTATATAATCAGCACAATTTTACCTAAGTCACATTTTTCCACTTAATTCCACATTCAATTGCTGACATGATGTTGAATTATACCCCTATTGAAGAATTCTAAGCAAGTAGCCAGAATGTGAAAAATCAGAATTCAGATGTGAAAGCCAGAATGCTGAAAAATCAGAATTCAGAATTATGGGAAGACCTCACACTTACTCAGGTGGCTTTCCACTTCAGACTAATATCAGTAGGCATTTGAAAGACAAGAATGAGAAAACATGTATTGCTTATGTATATATAAGAATCTTACAAGTGATTGCTATTTCAAGCTGTCTCCCAATTTGCTCTCCCAAATAGTTTACTACAATCCCATTTGGATCCTGATGCAAAATTGCGACTGGAAGGGTTTTTAGGATCTTTCATTCATTAAGATTTATTGGTTTTAGTCAGGGACTGCAATTCCTATCAGCCCTGATAGCATAGCCCATATTGAAGAATGCTTGGGGCTACAGGGCCACACAGTTCCTATCATCAGTTAAAATACAGGCAGCCCCCAAGTTAAGAACAAAATAGGTTCTGTAGGTTTGTTCTTAAGTTGAATTTGTTGGAACATGTACATTTTAAGTGTTTAGCTGTCTGTGTCACTGTACAGAAGATGTCACCTCACTTTCTGTCCCTGTGATAATTGCAATTTGAAAAATCTGGCTTGTTGTAGAAACAAGGAGTGGTGATAAAGCTTCTGTGGAGATACCTTTTCCACATGATAACACTTTTAGAAGTGAATTTCCCTTCCTAGAGGTAGATTTCTCTCACTTCCTGTTGTCTCAACCCTGTTTTTAACTGTGAGTCATTTGTAAGTAAGATATTTGTAACTGGGGGAGGTGGGGTATTGGATCATTGCAAACCAAACCACAGCTCTCAAATAGACTGATTGCCTTAAATCACTGTTCATGCAACAACGGCAGAGCAACAGAATTTCCTTTTCTTTTTTCCCCTCTCTCATGAATATGAGAAGAAGAAGAAATTGATATAGACTTGGTTTCTGGTGCAAGTGTATTGAGTCTATCTTGAGACAGCAACATACTGCTTTGAGCCCTGGTGTGGTTCCTATTTATCATGCCTGGCTCAGTTTGATTAAATGCCTTCAGGGGAGCCAGTTGTCCTTGGGCATGTTCCATTTTCCAGGAAGAGGCCAGCCTACCAACCAGGTTTGATTTACGGTGCCACTTGCCAGGTCAGAGATCATGACAACCTTCCTGAGATGCAGCTGGCTTTATTGGATTGACGTACAGGCATTGTCTGTGGGCTCTGGCATGGTTAGAAATTGGAGCCGGCATTCCTGGGTTTTAGCATTTGGAGCTTAGTATTCTTCTCTGCTCCTGTATTATGTGAAAGCAAGCCCAGAGGCTAAAGATTAAGAAGCTCAATGAGGTCAAACAGTGAAATGAATACAATTAGCAGTTTCTCGAGTTTGCTTGCAACTTGCTGCCATTATATGAACAGATCCAATATCCCTGTAAGTGCCATGTCAGAATAATCTCAGAGCATGTCTTATATAGTTTTGTGGAAAATCCATTAGTTGTGCTGGGAAAATGGAAAAAAAATATTGAACAAACTAAGCTTCTCCCCCAATATCTGTGACAGCTTAGTACAACCTGCCCAGAACTAATGCCATCCAGAGGTATTGCACTCTCTCCCATCTTTGATCATCGATAATGCTAGGTGTCACAGATGGGAGTGCATTCCAAAACATCTGGAGGGGTGGCAAGTTAAGGAAAACATTTCCTGTGGAATGGAAGTGGATAATAAAATAACTGTCATAATAAATATTTAATTATAACTGGTGAATTTACTCATAGAAGTGGCATGTATTTAGCGCATATGCAGTGATGCAAAGCTGATAGATAACTGCAAGCGAGGCCCATAGTCTCATTGAAATAACACTGGAGAGCTCTGTATTACTTTATGCTCCTAAATATTCCAGTTTTTGTTGTAGATAGAGTATATACATAGTGTTGTTTATGTTATGACTGGTCAAATTGCCAAAATGCATATGTGTCTATGCTGCAGACTCAGCAGATTCATGCTACTTTCTCTACTGACTTCATCTACTTAACATGAAGCTATGGCTTGCATCCCCATCTGGAGGGGGGGAAAAGAGCACCCATCATTTTACTGACCAGCCTTTGAAATAGCAGGACCGTGCATAGAAGTTGGATTAAAATATAAGTTACTTTATTTAAACTGTCATCTATTTAATTTTCTCCTGAGATATACAAAAATGTGTGTATGGGAGGACAACCTAGCGCAGGAGCAGCTGGAGCAATTGCTCTCTTTCAGACCTCCTCCTCAGCTTCCCATGGGCAAAAACACCCAAGCCCCTGAGAGAAACCACCAAAATTGGGTTGCTCCTAGTCCTCCTTGAGGGCCCCAACCCACAAATCACATGGCCACTAGTGATGGTGAAACTCTCAAGCCAGCCACAAGGACCAAGAACCTCATCACATCAATGAGGTTCCGTGTTACCTTTCACCTCTGTGGTGAATTGGGGGCAGTGAGGCAATCCTAGTGTCCCATGCCCCACTTTCCTGCCAGCTGACGCTTCCCTATCACATATGAGAAAGCATGACTGAGCAGCTTCCTGCCTGCCCCCCCCCCCCCGCCCATTGTTCCAAGTGGAACACAGGGATGATCCCATGTTGTTGCTACGATGCTGTCCCCCCCAGTTGACCCACAAAACCCTGTCAGAAGTGAGGTTATGTCATGTGATTGGTAGCATGAAGCTCCATGGMTGAACTGTGGCAGAAGCATCCTAAGACACTGAATTTCCATCATGTCATGAGGTCCCAAATTAACATTTCTCCAATCAACAAAGTAGGGTACACAAAAAAAACTGTGGAAAAGAGTCAGATGTCTATCCAGCCTGAAATTGACCAGCAAACCTACACTGTGTCAGAGGCAAGAGGCTGGGCCAAAGAAATGAAGGAAAGAGGAGAGGCAGGGAGTTGCACAGGCTTTAGTAAATTTTGCCCCTGCCTCTCCTTGTCATGATGTCAGCATGTGCTCAGTTTTATTTTGTCCTCCTTTCATTGGAGGCCAGTAATACTGACATCCTAACACATATACCCCCCCCCACACACACACACACAGACACTATACAATATAAGGTTGTCAGGGGGTGGGGAGCTGTTTTTCATCTCATGGTCCCAGAACGCATCAATAATGCTATCATTGCCACAATATAAAGGAGGAAAATCAAGGTAACGAATCAAATAAAATTACTATGGACCGAAGTGGGAGAGAAACAACTCTTTTTAAATTGTTATTGCACTGTCTTTTTTGTCTAAATGCACTTAATTGTTTTTGCTTTTGTATTGTATTGATGGCATCGAATTGTGCCAATATGTAGACCGCCCTGAGTCGCCTGCGGGCTGATATGGGCGGGATATAAGTGATGTAAATAATAAATAAATCATAAATAAAACCAATCTTTTGCTGATAAACCCAAGCATTGTGATTTCATTATTCACCATAATATGACATTCTTCTGTGCTGTTTTTCAATGTAGTGTTCGGCCACATGCTTATTCTATGTTTAGCTGCAGCAGTCCCTTGCAAAACTTCTAAGAACTCACTGAGGCCTTTTGGGAAATGTCTGCCTGCAGGTTAAAAGTGTGGTAAAGACATTAAGCTATGGTTGGAGGAGCTACATTGCATGTCCATCATTGAAGTGATGGGCTGCTGTGAAGAGACACCACTTGCTCAGATGGATATATTTCTGCCCGAGGTTCAAAAATTTTTCCAGAGATATTGGTTTTGAATATTTGTAACAGATGCTAAATGTGAGTAGTCTTGATCAGCTGGGAATCCAGATAGCTCAAAAAAGATAAACAGAAAGTTATATAAGCAGACTTATCTGTGTACAATAAGTTTTCCCTTTCCTCCTTCTCCTTGCAGTTTCTTTCATGCACACACATATAAATACGCTTCACAGACCGCCTGCAAATTTTCCCACATGTTCCAGAGTAGATTTGGGTTAGGGCTGCAATAAAAAGAAGAATTCGATCTAGCAACAATATCTGTTCAAGACAGAAATATAACCCATTAACAATTCTGCCATTGTCTCTCAACCCTATTTTTTCTCCCAATTATCTGAATATTGAATATTTGTTTTAAAAGTTTGCCAGTGTAGATTAATTTAAGAATGTATGAGAACTGAATGAGTATCAGAATGTAACAATTGTGACACTTTAACAATAAATACACTAGACAGACACCCTGAAGCAAAAGCGAAGGGCAAGACAAACGTATTCAGGATTTGAATCATAGATACGATAGGGCTGTCTTTTGAATTACAAACATAGGAGGAAGCTGTTTATTCCAATGGGGGAAATAATGCTGTGACTACTGTGACCACTATTTTCACATACATTCTCACACATCCATAATTACATGTTTTTTTAGACCCTTCCCAGTTTTGGCCCCTACCTGGAAAAGCGCAAGAAGATACTAGCTGAAAATAAGTTGAAACTGAAGGAAGAGAGTGGCCCATTTTTCCAGTTGGAAACAAAACACTTTGTTCCAAAGAAGCCCATCCTAACAATAAAGGTAAGAAAAAGAAAGACTTGCATTATAAAAAATAGCTCATTTGATTGGATGCTTGTATGCATTACTATGGGTCAATGGTGGGGATAATTTTTCAACCACTTTTTGTTGGTCACATATATGGGAACAATGAAATGTTTTCGTTAATGAAAATTGGAACCCGTCAGGCCAAGCAACATTGCAGTGTGGTCAAGATAGGAAAGGCTAATAATGAGAAAGAATAAACAAGCAGGACAGGCAGCAGCACCTTGCTTTTTGCTGAGTCTACTGCAAAGGGAAAGATCCCTCCCTTTCCTCTTCTTCTTTTCTTGCCCTTACTGAATTAGTTGATTGTCAACTGCTTTTGCATTTTGAACTCAAGTTCACTCTGTACCGTAGAATTAATGCAGTTTTATACCATTTTGACAACCATAGCTCAATGCTATGAAATCCTGGAATGTACAGTCTGGTAAGACAATAGAACTCTTTGGCACAGAAGATGAAAGTTCTGTTTAACTGCAACTATAGAGATTCTACAGCACTGAGCCATGACAATTAATTGTTAGACAAGTGGGCTTATTAACAAAAGACCCTCCTCATAAATGGACAGGAGAGTCACTTATTAGCAGCAGCATGACATAGCACCAGTAGCCCAAAGTGATAAAAAAACAAAAACACAGAGACCAATGTTATCTCTTCCATTGGAGGCTTTTCTTTATAGCAAAATAATATGGTTGCACTATTTACAAGAACAAGGTTTTCATAACACAAGTAAAGTTCTTTACACTTCCGTCTTTCCTTCCATGTTGGGCTTCTTTCTTATGCAGATAAACAGCTTCACTCTCACAGAACCTCTTCTCACACTGAAGTTACACAGGAGTTTCATACAGTAGCTTTACACACAGCAGCCTTTACACTGGAGCTTCACACGCAATGGCCTTCAACCTGGGGCTTCTTTCACCAAAGCTTCTCTCACACTAAGGCCTTTCTCCCACTGAGGCCTTCTCACACTGAGGGCTCTTTCAGATTGATGGCTACTAAGCTACAGGCACACCTGCTTATATTGAAGTGATGAGTCATTGCATCCATTTAACCTTTTCAGTGCTTTACTCACATTTTTGTAATTAAAAATACCTAGTTAATTTTTAACATTTCTAACATTAATGTGGTGTGAAACTTGCTTAATTCTACAATGTAGCAGTACCCTTTGATTGCAGAAACCAAAATAAGGAGCAAAGTAAGAGGAGGAAATAGAAAATGGGGCATTTAAAAAGCTGGCCAAAAACTGGAATGGCAGAGGATTAATCAGAACTGTTTCTGCCAAACCTGGACAGTTGGAGGGGATGAAAGAAGAGACCAAAAAGGAGACCCATTGACTTAAGCAAACTTCTCAGGGGGTAATGTTTTGCATTATTGATGTTTACCAAGAGGTAAAATGCCAGCCTTGCAAAAATAAGAAATGCACATGTCAGTATGTTTAGTCAAGATGTAAAGAATGCTTACAACTTTGTTCATTTTTGAGAAGAAAGAGTTGAAAAGTGGTGAACCAATGTGAAACTTCTCTTTATTTTGTAAGACTGGCAAAACCAGCAATAGGAAATAACTTTTTTCTGTTCAAAAGAAGATCCATTGACTAGAATCCTTTTGGGTCTTGTACATATGTAAAGTCTCCTCTGGAAATTATTAGAAATTTTTGTCTGTTGGGGAGCATCTCCATTCAGTTCAATGGTTTAGAAGTGGAGTGACATCATTCATGCACATACACATTTATTTATTTATTTACATTATTTATATCCTGCCCATATCAGCCCGCAGGCAACTCAGGGCGGTCTACATATCGGCACAATACGATGCCATCAATACATACATTCAAAAAGCAAAAACAATTAAGTGCATTTAGACAATAAAGACAGTGCAATAACAATTTAAAAAGAGCTATATCCTCTCATTCCAATCCTCATCCAATCCGTTTCATTGTCTTGGCCATTCCTGGGTCATTCTCCATCTCAAACTTGACTATTTATTCCGGGATTCCGAATGCTTGCTCGAAGAGCCAGGTTTTTACTCTCTTCCGAAAAGTCAGGAGGGAGGGGGCTGATCTAATATCCCTAGGCAGGGAGTTCCACAGCCGAGGGGCCACCACAGAGAAGGCCCTGTCTCTCGTCCCCACCAAGCGTGCTTGCGAAGCAGACGGGATCAAGAGCATTTGCACATTTGCTTGCTTGCAGCTGTTCAGATTTACCATGCAACACACAGCACAATCAAAATATATCCACATGCAGAGTTTTCTACTATGTGGTTCCAATGTAGCCTCTAAGCCAATGTATTCTATTGATAGTTGTTTTGCATAGCTATCACAACTACGGTATGAAATTTAGCTCTATTGGTGGTTGTCATGGAAGCAGTTGGCATGAGTCTGGTTCCAGGATCAGATTGGATCAGTGTCGGCCAAGCCCAAGGGTATGGGAGTTATGAGGTCTGACTAGCTTTGGAGATGGGACCTCTGGCACCCCCAGGGCGGCAGAAGGAGGGGCAATACTGTGTTTCACTCTTGTGATTCTGTCTTGCCCCTCCCTTTGGTTTTCTGACACAAGCTACTTTTGGTTCATTGATCAACAGGCAGGTTGGCCGATGCCCAGATTCAGGAACAATGCAGGATGCCAGCTTTAAGGCATCTGTGACCAATAAAGTTGTGACCTCTTTTCTCCGAAGCTCAGGCTGTGTGGAATGTTCCGTTGGGCTCAGGTGGAGCAGGTCACTTTTGGATACCCTCTTGTCCCATTCAAATAAAAATGCTCAGATGTCTTCTGCTGAATCTTATCACCTCTAGGCAAACAACATGGACATGATCATGCTTATATCGAAGTACTTTGAAAGATATGAGATCTTGGGCCTTTTCACAGAGAACTCCTTGTGTGTCTCTGATCAAACTGCAAACCCCAGAGATGCATAGGATGCAGCTTGGGCAGCTTGTGGAATTACTATAAACCAATCTTCAGAGTGGTTCATTGGTACAGAATAATAGGACTTTAGAACTCAAAGGGGCCCCATGGGATCTTTTCCAACCCCCACCCCATCAATGCAGGAATCCATTGCTAAAGCACAGAGAAGTATCGATCTAACTTTTTAAAAATGTCTTAACACACTTGTAAAACTAGTTGATTGTAATGTTTCTCACACTTCTGTCATTGAAGCTTTGCTGTATCTTCATGTTCTCACAAGTATCTGAACCTATTTAGCATTTCTGCAGTGAATGATGTTATTCCTGAGAACAAATATGCCTGTTTTCCCTCATTTTTGGTAACTTAGTTTTCATCCATCTGCCTTAGAGTTAAGCATTTATCCTCTCCTTCCCCCCCCCCCCTCTTTTTTTCTAATTTGCCTTCCCCCATTTCTCCACTGCTGTTGATTAATAACTGCTTGACATATCTAATCTGCACATCTTTCATTTTCCCAGATATTGTGCTATACACCAAAATATCTCTTTTCATTTTAAAATGAACAATATGACTTTTCAGGCACATATGTGCTCCCTTTGAGTGTGTCTTCTGGGAGACATAATACAAGTATTGTGCTGTAGCCTTGGATAAAAGGATCCCTCTTAATTTATGCCCTGGTCTCTTGAGTTCCCTGTATTTCACAATATTACAAAAGAAGACAATAACCTCACTGGTAAACCATATCAGAATGATTGAGGAGGACTCTTGTTTGGAAATTGAATTCTAGGTCTACATTTAAAAGTTAATATTTTACAATTACTCCACACATTAGTTTCAATATTTTTCACTTATGTGGCATTTTAATTTGGAACCTTTTTTGTTGTGTTTGGTTGCATTTCCCTGTACAAAGTCTCTTTCAAATTATTGGTAAACCACTTTCTCTGGGAGACATCGAATTCACAATGTTTCTCTGAGCAGCCTTGACTGTATTATATTTCATGTTAGTCTGAAAATACACCCCTTTGCTTTACAGCTCTATTCACAGACTATTAACATATGCAAGAGATGCACATTTTGGCAAGTAGAGAGGGCATACACCATTTCAGGGTGACCTCCTATATCAGGGAAAGAGTTGGCAGTAGTTTTCCCCTTGTTCTTTCTCTAAGGAGGATTGGCTTCTTGCACAAACAGTCCAATGACCCACTGTCTTCCCACCTATTGCCTGTATTGTAATGGATGGCCTTATTTAGCCATTTCTTGGATAAATGTAGTAAAATGATGGCGCTTATATAATATTGTATAACTAAGGTATAAGTTTTGGATTTTAAAATATATATATATATTCAAGATATTGATAGTGGAAGCGATGGATGCAGAATCCATGCATATCAAAGGCTGACTTAATGGCAATTTTCTCTGCTGATCCAATCATGTTTCATAGTTTTCCCCACTAACTGAAAATGTGTACATCTGCCTGTCTCTTTCTTCTCTCTCTCCCTCTCTCCCTCTCTCCCTCTCTCTCTCTCTCTCTCTCTCTCTCTCTCTCTCTCTCTCGTGCCCCATCCTCTACCTCTACACACTTTTCAATGAAAATGTTCCAGAGCACTGGACTCAGTATTAATCCCATTACATTTTCTTTGGGGGTTGAAGAGGCTAATCCAAGATTGGCTGAATCTGCTACACATTTGTTATATATTCTTTTTTACTCAGAGTCTGATACGCTGCCACCATTTGTTCTGAGCATCAACCAGAAACTATTCACAAGGTTTTCAAAGAATTATTGTCATTTGTTTTCTGGAAGTACCAAATTAAGCAGACATCCATGTTACAGTGAGCAGGAGATCTGAGAATGACCTCCTAATGTTGTCCCTCATATCTGCAGATAAAAACAATGAGAAGTGAGATTTCATCAAATATTCCCTAGGAGGGTCAAGTATCTCCAGCACTGAAGAGGAGATGGAAATAACATTCCACAAAGTATCTCAGAAAATTCTTTTCCAAGAACATTTTACTGAATGAATTATTATATTACAGTCCTATATAGCTACAGAGCTGTATTTACAGATTCAATCATTCACAGCTTAA